TCTGAGCACCTGCCCCTTGCAGGGCAGGCGGAGACTTCACGAGCTACTCCCAACCCCAGGCCAATCAGGGCCTAGGAGTGGGAGGAGTGCGCGAAGTCTCTCGCTCCCTGCCTCCTCCCTGCAAGCAGTGCGTGGCACTTTCACCCTAAGGGTATGTCTACACTACAGCACTATTTCGAGTTAACTTAATTTGAAAAAGTTAATTCGAATTAAGTTAATTTGAAATAACGCATCTATACACAAAAACTATTCCAAATTAGCGTTTTGGTATTTCGAAATAGCGTGTCCACACTGAGTGGACCCTGAACCAAAGTTAAGGCTGGCCAGAACCAGTGCTGGCAGGGCATCAGGTTAGGACTTGAGTGTGTGAGGCTGCTGCCTGAGACTAACTGAGCTCTGTGCTTAAAAGGATCCTACCCCAACCCCAGACAGACAGTTCTCAGGGTTCCCCGCTTGCTTGTCTACCTCGATGAGGGACACCACAGCACTCCGGTGCATCTCGTGGGGTCATTGCCATCAGCCCGGCTGCACTTGCTGCAGGATGCCATCCAGGGGGTTCATTGGGGGGCTGTCAGGATCCAGGAGGCCCTGAGGGACAGCGTCCTCCCTGAGGAGCCCTCAGAGCCTCCCCGGTTCTCCCCACCGGGGGCTCATGCCCCATTCCTCCCTCATGTCCTTCCACTTACCCCTTCCTAGCCCTCCTTCCTGATGTCAAATAAAAGACACGTGTGTTCAAAAATAGAAACTGGGCTTATAGAGGGCGGGTGGGGGGGGGGGAATGAACCTCTGGGGAGACTGGGAAAAGGAGGTGGGAGAGGGGGAGAGGTTGAGAGAGGGGAAGAGGAAACCTGGGATGAGGGAGCTGGAAGGGGGAAGCAAAGGGAAGAAGGAGGAGGGAAAGCTCAGGGCTCAAATTTGGGGGTCTCACCAGACCAACTTGACTTTCATGCTAACCTGCTCCTGGGTTCGCATGTGGCCTTTGGTGGCCAGGCTGGCAGCTATCCT